GTAATGTAAAACGCACAAGTGCGTTATTGTAATGTAAAACGCACGAGTTTTTTTTTTTTAATAAAGTAACATGCACGGTTTTTTAAGATGCTCCGTCTAAAAATGAACGATACTTTTTTAAATCTTTGCAAAGAGTTTTTATGTTAGAAAAGTGGTCAATATTTTATGAATAAAATTAACTTTGGGAGATAAAATATAGTAAATAAACATTTAATTCTTTCATTTAATTAATTTTGACAATAAATTACAACCATTTATCTGTAACAAAAACACAAAAATATTAATTTACTTTATTAGTAATACTGGCTATTTTTATACCTTTGCCTAAAAAAAAAACGTTGCTGCGCGCGCATGGCTAATTTGAGGACAAGTAAAAATGGTGATTCGCTCTGGACCTTTTGGAGGGAAAAGTGTCGTTTTTATTTTGACTTTCAATTATTTTGTGAAATCTAGTTTAAAGTGGAATAGGATAGTGCTATTGTGCCTTAATCGAAGATTTAAAACGCGAAATTATACGAATCTCGAACTAAAATACCCGTATCGGCCTGTTTTAAGGAATCCCGAGCCAATCCAAGCACGCCGCCTCAAATTGCCTATCCTCTTTGTGGGGGCCATATTTACGGAAACATAATCAAACTTCATGTTTAGGCTGATGGCTTTGCCAAAGCCTTAATCAATTAAAAAAAAAAACAAGTAAAAATTATTTCGCGCGCTTTTTCTTTTCGCTGTATTGTTTTTATTTTAAAATGTCGTCAAGTAGCGATGAATTTATTAATTTGACACCGCCACAAGTCTTAAACGCAGCGAAAAAGTCTACTCTAAGCCTCTTACCTGAAAAATCGACCGATAGATACTTACAAGCGTATCAAAATTTCATCATATGGAAAACAAGCAAAGATGCAAATTCATTTTCAGAAAATGTGTTTTTAGCCTATTTCATGGAACTTTCTCAAAAATATAAGTCAAGCTCTTTGTGGTGCTACTATTCAATGCTAAAAAGCACTATGAAAACAAACCATGGTATTGATATCAAGTCATACTCCAACTTCTAAATTTCTAAAAAGACGCTCAGATGGCCATGTAAGTAAAAAGTCGAAAGTATTTTCGGCTGACAATATCAAGAAGTTCCTAAAAGAGGCTCCGGATTGGCGATATTTGGCAACAAAGGTCAGTTGAAACTAAATTATTGTTATTAATTTCTTTCACTTTCGTATTTCTTTACAATATAGGTGTTTATACGTTCTTTTTATCTATTTTCAGGTTGTATTAATATTCGGTATAAATGGTGCATGTAGACGTCAAGTTGGCAAACATAACAACTAATGATGTCGAGAACCATGGGCGGGTTCTTCTTGTCCAGGTCAAAAAGACAAAAAATAAAATTCCAAGGTCGTTCACAATACAGGGGCCTTTTTACGACGTAGTGAAGAAATACGAAGCGCTTCGTTAAACAAAAGCTAATTCCAACAGATTTTTTCAAAATTACCAAAATGGAAAATGCACTAACCAACCCATTGGCATTAATAAATTGGGAGCAATGCCGAAAGAAATTGCCACTTTCTTAAATTTTCCTCAAGCACATGAATACACGGCACAGTTTCAGAAGGTCCTCGGCTACATTGCTCGTCGATTAAGGTGCGGACTTATTGACACTAAAACGCCATGGAGGATGGCGGTCAAGCAATGTAGCCGAAGGATACATAGAAGACTCGATAAGAAATAAAGAAGAAATTAGCTCTCGCATTACAAGGAACATAAATTTGGAGTCAAGTGTTGACTTTCAACCATCTACGAGCACACACGCGTACATTCCACCATCGTCGCCGCAGCCGCAACCGCCTCCGCCGCCGCCACCGACTGCAGAACTCTGGTCTCGTTTCTCCTACTTTCACTAAAGAGAGCGAGAGAGAGACTGGGGATATTGTAACTAATAATAATAACTTGACAACATTAAAAATGCCAACTGGCAACGTAACAATCATTTTTAAAAATTGTTCAAATTTCTATAACTGCTTTAACAAGTATTTAAAGATTTATTCGTTTAAGAAAGTCAGAGTCTTATTTATTTCCTCGCAAATATGTTATAAAACGTCGTATGACATACGTGCGCTTTGAAAATTACCGCACTTATATCATAATGTACTATTGTAAAACAGTAGTAGTGTAGCGTAAATTGGAATGTTTCTTTGTAAAATTAAAAATAAGGTATTTAATTAATAACTTTTGTAACTATAGTGAAAAAATAGGGCAGTTTGCATTAATATTAGACATAACTGATTGATGACTGTACCACCTCAGTCAACCGTGACCATGGGACCTGTAAAGGGCCCGAAACGTTGGTTTGTTTGAAAAAACAAATATACGCGATTTAAATCCGGAAAAATAGTTTTATTTCCTACACCAAATTGTAATTCATTACTTTTTCGAATTCCAGATTTCCGGAATGATTTTACTGCATCGTAGGACAAAACTACTCATCTAGGAAGTCAAAGTTGGATTTTAAAGTACTTCTAGTGATGTGCTATAAAAAAAATTCAGTACATAACTGACTTTTCATTACAGTAAACCTGCTACCTACCGAAAGAAATAAGTACGATGGCAGATCTTCCCTGGACGAACTCTATCACAAGGAGCTCTACTACTACTAAAATGATGATAATGACTAAGATGCTAATAATGCTGATGCTGCAGATGCTGCTGATGGTGGTTTGATGCTATGGGTGCTGATTGTGCCGATGATAATTATGCTGAAAATGCTCTATGTCAATCATTGTAGCTTTTTCCGACCATTAGTCATAATCAAATTAAGAACAATCCTTGTCAATGTTGTGAAACTATTCAAACTACGAAACAATACACTTTATCTTTTTATACTACACAATTACACTTTATTTAATAAGGTTCATTAATATGTTTAATGTACTTATCTCTCCATGAACCACTTGATGTGTTGTACATACGTATCATACAGGTTATACCTAGTTTAAGCTCCAATCTCCCATAAGTAACTAATTCTAAGTACCTAATTCTTAATATGCGTCCTGTAGCTTTGTGAATAGAAAAATAAATTATTTTATATTTATATATACTTTATCTCTGGGTTCCCGTGCTCGTGAAATCAAAGAAACAATTTTTCATTTGTTATAGTTTTTCTCTTTGAAAGAACTTGCCATTATGGATATAACGTAAAGTTTACGGTCACAAATCAAACAAAATAACTACGGACAAATTCTCTAGTTACAATTCCACGTCATTGCACAATACAGAAAAAACATGACAGATTTCAAATAACGCTTATCGTATTTGTTCTAAGAATAATCGTAATTTCATATTTATTGAATACGATATCTCCATACGAGATTACGAATCAGTAGATTACGATTACACCTTTGAAGAACATTTAATTTACACCCTAGCCATATTCGATATAGAATGTAATACTTCAACAAATCAAAACATTTTCACCTTTACTTTTTTACCTACAGTTACCTACCACAATTTAAATATTTTACCCCGATATTTAATTAGGTTATTGACAATACCAAGGACCGATAACTCAAGATTGCTAATCTCTATAGGTAGGTAACTACTACTGATCGTATCTCTGACAAAGGTCAAACTTCCGTCTTATGCCTAGATGGCGTTGAATAGCCATCTAGACAGTACAGTCAAGAGCACGTCGTGCTTGACACTTTGTACTTTGGACCGTTCTTATCGTAAGCGGCATAGAGTTGGATTTAAATCTTAAGTGTCAAGCTTGACGTGCTCTTGACCCTGTACAAATTATGAATGCATGTTTATTGGATATCAATTAATTCCTCTTTAATATGAAATATAAAATAATGATCACGAGATAAAATTATTTTCGGAACTTCGACAAAGTGTTTTATAGAAAAGACGAAAGCGCTCGAAAAATTGTACATGGCAGCATGTTTTAGTTTTTCAAGACTGTTGTAAAATAATTACCTACGTCATGTTTTAAATTCAATTTTAAAACTCAAACATAATTAAAACCAAAATAGAATTTTAAAACAGAACGTAAATATTTTAAAAAGGTCGTTAAAACCTAATAAAACATGCTCCTCTGAATTTTTTTTTCGAAATGACGCTTTCACGCTTTCAACAAAACACCGACGAAATATGGATGTCAATAGATGCCATTGTATGTTACAAACTAATTTATAAATTAACGCTAACTAATACGGGTAGATGACGCTAATCCTAAACAAAATAAAAAAGTACCGGCACTAACCACAAAAATCTGTGCAATTAGCGCCATCTAGTTGATTTATTTATTATCACTAGAAATAGAGTAGCTTTAATAAATTGCAGTTGGTCAATATTGTTAGTTACAAAAATAGGTATTTCGTACTCTTCGCGACATCTGGTGTGCCAATGGGTATTAAATACCCGACTACGCTGTCTTGTATCATGATTAGCTGTCCTCTTGAGTTTTTTGTATAATACTAATCATGAAGTCTGAATCTTGTAAAATAGACGTTTCAATAGACTAGGAATTGAAACTAACAAAAACCACTAGTGATTACCTATTTTTAAAACTGTGTCATCCAAAACATTTTTCTTATTTGAAGGGAAAGATACCAAACATTCGAAGAAAAAGGACGAATTCGAATGAAAGTTCGGAATCGCAAATTCATGCTGAATGAGATACGTAGTAAATTAATATAAAATAAAATCTTACAATTTTGTTTTTTTTTTTCATGTAACATGACCTACTATCGAGGAGTAAATATTAATAGGATTCAAAATCATAATTATTTTATTTAGAAAACATAGGTATCAATAGTATTTTGTAATATTCATAATAATTGGCTAGGAAAGTATTACTTCTACATGACCCAATTACCTACTTACCTATTTAAATTCCAATAACACAAGCAAGCCGAGCCTAAATAATCAGCATTGACAAAAAATCTCTATTCACCTGCTAACATTGGTTGCCTAGCAACGTCTTGTTATTATTTATTTATTTATCAGGGATAACAAACAATTGTATACATGGTATGTTTACATTCAATGTTATTTAATTCTAACATAAGTACACGTACAATCAACAAATTACTATTAAAATTGTCGTATGTGATTAAAGCAAAACTAACACAATTACTTAAAAAGTAAAAGTATTAAACATTCTATATTGAATTTAACTACAGTAAAAATACTAAATTAATAAAACAAGTTAGGATTACAAACTACAATATATTTCAATATAAATACAATTAACCCTACATCCACCTGTAATGTGCATATGCTCTATTAGCTTCACACTGTCGATGTAAATCCTGTTTCCTCTTAATCACTTTGCCCGTGTTATTTGCCGCATCTAAAAGCTCCCAAGCAAATTGTTCGGGAAAATGAACTGTTCTTTCTTTTTCGTACGTTGCTTCTAAAAGCCATTTGATTGCTATAAATAAAGATCTTTTATCTGTGATGGAACCGGGCACCTGTAAGTAAACAATTATTTAATGAGTGTTATGAGTTTTGAGAAGAATTAACAGAATTTTGGAATCTAAATTAGATAGTTTGATATAACAGAATTTCAAGGATTCTAAGTGATAATATCATTGATAATTATTATGATGATTGCCTTGATAAATATACCTCACCTTTTTCATTTTTAGTCAAAAATAAAAGACAAAGCTATAAATTAGGATACATAATTATCAATGAAAATAAATATTTTGATAATTTCGATGTTTAAAAGATAAAAACCTCTCTCGGTCATAATTATGTAAAGAGGTCCAGAGTGCCTAGTGGAACTGGACTGAAAAATAAGATAGACCAGGAAGCATTCATTGCAATACCAGAACAAAAAAACAATAAAGTGAAAAGGAGTCATTTCACAAAAAAGAATTGAATATATTGATAATAAAACATCGTGATATTCAATGATCTTAATATTACAAAAAGGAAAAATGTAAAAATACTTTTGAGAAAAAAAACGACAATACGATTTAAATATTTAAAATACTGTCATGTGACTGTTGTGGCATACGCAAAAGTCTCATTCGGCTCTAGGCAGTGAGTTCGATGTACCCTAAAGCTCAAATATACCTGGATGTACTGAGAGTACTATGTCAGCATTGTTAAGATGGTCTGCACACTTACATCATTCCTGGCTACAACTCTACAATCACATCACAGTATTGATTATTGTTACATGTAATTTACAGAACAAAACTTAAAGCCAGGTGCCAGGTGTCAAATTGAGGTAATTGCTTCTCTTCAAGCCCAAGTGCTATCAGAAGCCACCTTGATGGGGGTTGTTGTGCAAGGATTTATTTTATTTTAATTTTCATGGTTGATTACCAATATCAAAGCTATGAAAAATAAAACATCAATAAATCTGTATACCAATGACAACTATACACAGCGTTAAAAAATTAGAAATAGTGTGATCTTGTAAAATATAGAATAATTAATAAAGACATTTTTATAACAGTTCAAAACCTTTGTTTTAAATAATAGACTTTTTCAATGTGTGAAGCCTATCATGAAAAATATTGTGATTGCAGCTTGCAGCCAATTTAATTACACTCTTTTGCAAAAAAAACGGGCACCTAAGGAAATTTACGTTCTAAAGTCGATTTGAGTTAATTGAATGAAATTTATTTCTTTGACTTAGTCTGTATACTTATAATCGTGAAAATTAATGCGCGTGAAGTGAATTCGGGCAATTAAAAGAAAAAAAAACGATGGATTCTTTAAAACCGATGTACACGCCCAAACAATAAGAAGTGGTCGGCAATAAAGACAAGATTTTTTTTTTACTTTTTTAATTAAATAAAGTTACAAATGTAAAAACCTAATAACGAGTGTGACCTCCTCTTGCCAAAATCACAGCTTGAATCCTTCTGGGCACGCTTTCCACGATGTTTTTAATAACGTTTTGAGGAATACGTTCCCACTCTTCTGCAATGACTCTTTTTAGCTCCCTGATGTTTTGTGGAGCAGGTTGCACTGATCTTACCCGTCTCTTTAGAACATCCCAGACATGCTCAATTGGATTGAGGTCAGGACTTCGAGCTGGCCAATCTAAACGACGGATCCCAAGTTCTTGCATGTACGCTTCCACGTCGCCAGAACGGTGCGGGCGAGCATTGTCGTCCATAAAAATGGAATCTTCCCCAAGTGCAGTCAATGTGGGTTGTGCATATGGAATTAGGACTTCCATTATGTACCGGTGTGAATTTAATGTTCCATTTTCTATGAAAACTAACTCCGTACGCTCCGTCGAATTAATTGCTGCCCAAAACATAACGGAGCCTCCGCCATAAGGAGTGATTTCTTCGAAACACACTTCCGCATAGCGTTCCCGTGGTCTTCGCAGCACTCGCCGGCGTCGGTCCTCTCCACACAAAGAGATTCTAGCTTCATCAGAAAACAATACTTTATTCCAGTCCGCCAGAGTCCCTGAAGCACAGTTCCGAGCAAACTGAAGACGAGCAACACGGTGCTCACGGAGTAATTTAGGGCCCCGAGCTGGGCGGTAACTCCTGATATTGGCAGCCAAAAGCCTCCTCCTGACCGTCCACAAGCTAACTTCTACTCCTCTTACTTCTTCAAGGCTCTTCTTCAGGTCCACACTTGACGCCTTACGATTCCGCAACGCCTGACTCACCAAAAAGTGGTCATCTCTTGGTTCTGTGCATCGTTTTCTTCCCGAACCGGGTCTTCTTTTGACCGAACCGGTCTCTTGATACCGTTGCCAAGTCCTCTGGACAGTTGAACGACTCACATTTAGCCGCTGAGACACGTAAGTTTGCGAACAACCTTCTTCAAGTAGGGCTATAATTTTACCGGCCCTTATCACTTTATCACTCATATCAAAAAGTGGTATTTAATGTAAAAAGAAAGATTAAATTGTTTAATTTGCAGAAAATATCCAAAAAGTTTTAAAATATCGTAATCAGTTAAAAATCGATTCAGCAATTCGCGCCATTAGTAAAGCAATTTTAGACTAATCCACAATAATCATTATTTTTCTTTTATTAATTTCAAATTTTAAATTTGGAACGTAAAGAATCATGCCAGGATGCTTCAAATAACATGCCAATATATCGTCAAATTAATAAAACCTATTTCTTGTTCTTCTTCATTGAAGTAGAGAAAAAAATCTAAAGTGCCCGTTTTTTTTGCAAAAGAGTTTATGTGATGTACACATTCAGTAAGCCAGGCTATTTGAAGAATGCAAACCTTTAGGCATATTTACTAACCTGATAAGTAATACCGCCTCTTTTAATAGGCTGTAACTGCAACAAAGGCCGGGCATTTTCTATGGCTTTGTGGAGAACTTCTTTAGGGCTCAATATGATCTTAGCTTTCGCTTCAGGTGTAGAAGCAAGGTGATAGCGTTCTATTTGTATCCTTTTAATATTCTCAAAAGACTTCTCTAGTAATTCCCTTGCAAGTTTCTTTTTACCCATTTCCATTATGTGGTTTATTACTTTACTGTAAATTGAAAAATAATTACATAGTATTACTTTAATGCAGAATGAGATCTCAGAGATGGCTACACCATGAAAACCGTTGTGCAAGCCACTTGACAAACGAAGGTAGTTTTTAATATATGCATGAATATTTATTTATTCAGAATCATTGAATATCTAACATAAGCAACGTATGCAACATGGCATTACAGAGATTAAACAAAATACTAACTGAACTAAAATTAAGTAGGTACTGACTAAAATCTTTCCTGAATAGTCTATGGTTGTATGTGTATGTATGTACTAGTAAATATTTGTTCACATATTTATTTATTTGTATTTTGTTCTTGTGTGCAATAAAGAGTATTTGTATTGATACAAATATTTAGTAATACATTCATACACATACAACCATAGACTATTCAGGAAAGATTTTAGTCAGTACCTACTTAATTTTAGTTCCATACATGGTACCATACATGGTACCTATATTAGTAGAGTAATAACACAAAATAGGCGCTTTGTCGTCGAGTTGCGGAAACCAACCCGTTGCACCAAGTACCAGTAGAGTAATACTGTTTATGGAGGTTCGTGTTTGGCATTGAAACATTAATATGTTTATTATGTGTATTTCCCATCGAGTACCTATATAACCAGAAATAGAGATGAAATATAATTTAATATGTTTGAAAACTATTATGCCAAATCATCACAGTGACAACTGTGCTCCGATTGGCCAACCCGAATTTGAAACAATTAACAGGTTTCGTCAATTGTTTCACTTCAAATCGACCAGTTTAACTTGAACTTTGCTATAATGAACAAAAATTGCAAAATTACATATTTAATATTCAATTACTGATGAAATGTGATTCCGTTTGTTTTGTAATTAGATGTTTTGCTGTTTTACCCACACCACCAAATGGCATAGTCAGAGATATTATCTTTATTACAATAAACACAGAATATTTATTTTAACTGCCTCTGTGGCCGAACGGTTACCATGCCATGCAGAGGTCCTGGGTTCGATTCCTAGGCCAGGAGAAATATGTGTATGGCCTACATTTATTTCTCTCGTGAGTTTGAGTGTAATTTGTGGTTGTCTATGTGTGTGTCCATGGCATCTGCAACACAGGGATTCCCTAGTGCGGATAGTAATGTTGAGTGTGTGCATTATTATTATTATTATTATTGGAATTTAAGTGAAATAAGGCCCATTTCACTGATGAGTTGCCAGTGATGGATGCCCCTTATTTTGTCTCTATTTCTGGTTATATACTGGATGGTATTCCCTCAGTTTTATTTAAATGATATTCTATATGACCATCACAGAATAAAAATAAACGAATCAAAGGAATAGAACACTCCATATCCATGGATATTGGATCAAATACTCTGAGGATATTTGTATAGTTTGTAGTAAAATACAGTAGAACTAACCTTACTAGCGGATCATAGTATACTGAAGATGTCTCGTAAACGGCAGGAGGTTTCACAGGCATAGCAGATAGTTTTGATAATTCATTACTTTCAATAAGACTTGCCTGCTCTTCCTTTCTAAACACAGGGTTCTGGAAATAGTCTGGAAAGCTAGTAGGCCTTGCATATTCTCTGTTCTGAAGCGCTATGTGCCACCTACAAATAAACATTTTTTTTATAAAATAAATAACAGTATTTGTTAAAGTTTGGTTATGTTTGATAATTTAACAAACTTGCTAGATGTAGAAACGTAAGTATTTAACAAGCACTGATTCATTAATCTCAATCTGTTGGGTATGTTGTTCATTTTAGGGGTTTTTATAGGTAATTTTGGTGATATTAAACAAATTTATTTTGTTAATTCTAACTCCAAAATCACCCCAAAACAAAGATTTTAACTTTTTTAATTTTTTTGTGGTTTTTACGGCTCTGACTACATTGAAATTTTGAGCGACTATCTTCATAATCCTGCATTACGGTGTGGACAGCAAGGTGGACTACAATACAGGATAATGAATGTCCCCTTTTACGAATGCACAGAATGCGCATTTTTTTCTTCATCTATCTATCTAAATATTTTTATATTTTATGTTTTAAAATTTCACAATAATTCCTTTATTTTTCCATCCTTTGAGCAATAAAATAAGCACGATTTTATTTTTATTATTTATTAAAACTAGTCATAACAAATGATCAATAATCAATGATCTTATAAGCAAACAACAATTTATTATTATAATTATGAGAGAATGTGACTAAACCTAAATACAATAATGTAAAACAGTAAGCATGACAAGTAGTGCAAATTATTTCACACGATGCTTGTTAATATCAAAAAGTTACACTGAGTCATTGCGTAAAATAAAATTATTACAAAGAAACACGGCAGTAGTCACTAGAAATATCACCTTTTAATGTTTTGTTTATGTAGTTTTAAGGATTTCACCTTAGCCAAAGCTCAATGAATTATTAAAGAAAAAGAGTCTGTGAGAAAAACATAAATATATCTTCTCTGCAGACCGCTTGCGCAATAGTTTATTGTACAGTGTCTTGTATTAATAGTTTGTGGTACAGTGTATCATCTATGGTCTAGTGGCAATCAAAGAGGATCTATTTAATCACTACGTTGAGTGGCAATGGCAAAACAAAAGAAATTGTTATGTCAAAATTTTCTGAATTGAGCTGTTTAGTTAATTTATTAGGTGTGAAATTATTAAATGCGTTGTTAAAATGTCAACTATAATAAAGTACGAGCTAAAGGAATTACGGAAACTATCAAATGATAAGAACTCCTGTGTTGTGGAGAAAAAAGTAACTCAAAACTTAGCACTACAGCCCTGGTGCCTCGGTAACCTCAAGGAAGCCTTGAAAAACCTTTTGGATTACAAAATTGGAAAGTTTGATAAAGAGTGAGTTATCTTGCTAGAAAAGTTTGGCTTGTCATGGTTAACGTTTTGCTACGTGACCCATAACATAATGTAAACCTGTGTTATTGTTCCATGTTCCAGATTCAATGGTATCCTGTTAAGTTACAAAAACTTGCGCGTTTTGCAAAACGTTGGGACAATAAGAAATGATAATGCCGAAGTACATTTCCAAGTACAAGCAGATTATTTCGTATTCCGACCGTACATTGGCGCCAAGTTAAAAGGAATTGTTAACAAAAAAAGCAACACCCATTTAGGAATTCTTGTTCATAAGTGAGAATATAATCTATAATAATAACCACGTTGATAAGTCCTTGGTACTTTTGAATTTAAATTTGAAAAACAAAATTTATTAGACTTTTTACCCAAATACTATAACTTGGGTGTTTTCAAGTCGAGAGTGAATAGGCGTGCATGCTTTGTCTACCCCTTCGTCACTTTCCGTCAGATGAGATGGAAGTCAAATGCATTTTTTTGTTTAAAAAGGGTATATTTCACAACTTGACATTGTTATCTGGCAACTGGCAGTGGCCCAATATGCACACTATGGACCCTGATTGAGACTGGGGAATGACCTCTCCTAAATTGTTCTAGTTTGGGTTTTCCCAGTGGTGCCCCCGAATAAAGCCCTTTGCTCTATTGCTCATAGTACAGGGAATTCTGTAGTTGGTGTGATTGTCTGGCACATTATTAACTTGCTTGAATTTGTTGAATGGCCTTTTTTCCACTTTAGATTTCGCCCTTCCCACCAAATAATATGGTAATATGTTGCTGCGATAGTTTTAATTTTATTGCAGAGCTGGTGTTTAGTGCGTTAATTAGACGTTGTAATTTTTTTTTGTAATATTTCTATGGATATTTATAAAATTACATTAATTTCATTGGCCCCGTAATGAACATAACAATAGTATTCCCTTAATATCTAAACACCCTTTTTACACGAATAATACCATAATAAGTTAGTACAGATTATGCAATCGTTTATTTTTTCCGTAAGTGATTTAGAGTCATTAAATTTGCGTAAGAAACACATTAAAACAATTTTATTCGCGTGTTATTTTTATTTTTATATAGAATGTATTTGCATAATTACATTACTATTAATTTTTTGATACCATACATAAACGAATATTACTGTAATTGTACTATTACTGTATACACTATAGCTTGGATTTCATCCAAATAAAGTCGTAATATCATATTACCATTACCTTTTTTGACACCATATTTCAATGAATAATATGGTAATGCGTTAATACTGACTACGAAATCGTTGGGTGTACACGCGAATAATATGGTAATGGTGCGTTGCATACTATACTTTTGGCCTACAATTTCAGTAATATTATTTTCATCAATAACTTTATTTAGTAAAACTAATACAAAAATACTATAAAAGAAAATAAACTGTAAAAAAAATTTGCTTTGTTTTGACATAGAAATAACTATCCTATGATGCACCTGAGCTGAGATATACACAAAAAATAGTTTCCTATAAAATTTAGAATTATTGGTTACCATATTATTCGCTGGGGTGTGAGATTTATTAACAATATTTTATTAAATGTGTTATGGTATGGTAAGATGTCTGCAACTTGTCATATAGACACCTAAATTGCATGTGATGTTGGTAAATAATGTTTCAGAGTATTCAATGTTGTTATTCCGAGACCAACAGAGGAGCCTGGCAATAAGTGGATTGGCTCAGTGGTTAAGGAAGGCCAAGAAGTGGTTTTCAGAATAGTTGTACTCGATTTATATGGGGCATTGCCCTACATCAGAGGAGAATTAGATGAAAGGTAACATTGATATATTTAATCTTCAGACTTGTTGTGTCTTCAAACAGTTTTACTAAAACTTCTCTATTTCAGTTGCATAAAGCAAGGTCCGGATGGCGATGATGAAGTACACTCTAAGTCTCCATCAATGAGTGTAACTTACGTTAACTTTGACAAAACTAAACCAATTAATATCCACAAGCAAATAGGAGATGGACTACCACATACATCGACAAAGACACAGAACAATTCCAGTAAACATAACTTAAAAACCTATACACCACTGTCCATAGCATTAAATGGAAGAATGAACTCTACAAACAAAGAAAGTGATATAAGCTTTGTTGAAAAATCCAAAAACAGACGGCAGAACAAAATTTTAGATAATGAGGCTAAGCAACCTGATATGAGACCTTCAAAAAAACACAAAAAAGATATATGATATGTACAAATGTTCTAAACTTTTAAAGATAGTATTGGTTTTTTATTATTGTGTTAGTATACAATTTATTTTGAAATAAATTTATGTAATGCCTAAACACTTCATTAGAATTATATTTTATTAAATGCCTCAGTATATTGTAGCCAATTTTAGAGCAACTAACAATGGTGTTGGGTGAAAATTAGCTACAGAAATACAACAGTAATAATATACAAATCTACAGCAATATGCTAGTCTTTTGATTTAATCATCTGCTTAAAAAATAAACATTAAAAAAAGTTGTAAAAAATTTGCAAAATCTTAGTGTTATCAACACCCAAATTTTCATTGTTGTACAAATTGTACATCATAGTTTTAGTATATAGGTACCAAATATGTGTTGTACATACATTCCCTCGAAGCCAGAGCGAGTGGCGAAATATGAAAAATATATCGCAGGCTTCGACAGAAAATTGACAGTTTAAAGAAGAGAACTTGTCTTCGGGTTCATGCTAAGCCGGCTAGTGGCAAATATAGGATATATTTGCCATATTTATTCCTTTCTTTCTTTCCAATTATTTCTTCCTGCAAGACGTGCTAAATTGTAATTGTCTAACGGAGAATTTGGTATAGCAAAATGAAAAACAATAAATATTTTATATTCAAAGTACAGCTACAAAATATACAATATATATAATACCTATATTATATTCCCTGTCTTACTTTTCTGGTCTCTTCCCCTTTCCCATAAAAAAATTTCTTATATATTGCCTATTCATTGGCCAACATCAAATTTATCACGATTCAAGAAAAATACCTATGCTAAAAATTTTTTCGACTGGCAACTCCGATAGAATCAATTGTCAAACTTTCGGTGTTGTCGATACGATGCGTAAAGTGAACAGAATTTATTTACATTTCTTAACGTGAAGACGTGACAAATTTCACAATTTATACCTTCAAATGGAGAGTTGCGAAGCTGTCTGCTCCAAAGAATAGTGAATATAGTTAAACAAAGTGTTTTTGCCATAAACTATAAAATGTCGAGGAATGGCGAAGTGTCATCTAATCAAGGTAAAAAGCTCAAATAAATTAATCTGTAGCGCGAAGTTAAAGCAGAGAAGTTTGTAAACAACGTGTTCTTATCGATCATTAAACGGTTACGATGACGAATTTCAGGTCCGAGCCGACCGGGCATGCCGAAGCTTGATTTCAATTCACTTGGTTCAGAAAAACGTAAAGGTTTGGATCTGCCAATAGGGGGTCCTTCTGGAGATGGGGCAGCTTTCAAACCGTTCACTGCTAACCCGCCGCCGCCACCCAAGCCCCGATTTCAGACACGGACTATTAGAGATGTGTTACCTGATAACACTAGGTGAATGAAAATCAACACTTATTACGTATCGTAAAATATTCCAATTAGACACAATTTGTACTATGTAAATAGTTAAATGTAAAATTTCAGAGACAGGTGTAGAATCTACCCATCAATGCAGTCATCGGGCAAGCTGCAGTTGTCAGCAACGGAAGTATATGACTTTACTGCAGATGACTTGCAGGACTTGGGCGAAATAGGACGTGGAGCATTCGGGGCTGTAAATAAAATGACACATAGGAAGTGAGTAATGTTACTTAATTACATAATGCATGTTCATAATGAAATAAATCAATTTCATAAATAAGGGCGCCTTCAAATAGGACGCTTCTAAAAGAGCTGCTGTGGTGCGACTGCAGAGCGGTAGTCGTACATCTATGGAGCTTCAGTAACTTTTAGTTCATTTATTGTGACTGCAAAAGAACCGTGTGCATGTCATAACAGTGGAGCTGCAAGTGCACTTCTAAACATTGTATGACGCTACTGTGGTGCTTCCATAATTGCTACTTGCGTCATACGGTCCTAATATTGATATGCCCTTTGAACAAGTCATTACTAAATAATCTCAGGATTTCTGGCATAAAAAATACATTATCAGCTACTTATACAAAGCTGAGTCAGGTTGTTTTATTGTAATCAATACAATGCCTCCAATCCATACTATGCCAATTTTATTTTTTGTTCATTTTCTGTTATTTTTGTAAACAGCCATATTTATTTACTAGAAAATACATACATATACATATTTATTTACTAAAAAAAATTTGGGGCCATAATAATGGCCCCAAATTTTTTTACAAAACAAAATGAAAAAACAAAATACACGAATTTTGTGACAAAAAAATTAAGAAACAAAAACAAAATAAAACAGAACACATCCAAAAATTAAATTGACAGTGTTTTTTTTTATTGGAGTTATCGTGATGCAAACCTGTATTAGATTTAAAATCTAATTAGTCTAAATGTCTTTAATTGTATTCTAGGATGTCCTGTAGGCTAAATTGTTTGTGAAGCGTAATTTAATCAATTAACGTAACAATTAACTATATAAAAAATTAAACTTCTATGTATATGCAAATTTCTGTAAGTTTTAACAAGATGCACAATTCTGTTATAGACTGGTAAAAATTAAATTTCAGGATACGTAAAATATTGAACATTGACATGGTTTGAGATGAGACATACAAATATAAAAAATAAAGTGTTTATCTCTTTCTATCATTCAGGTTTTTTGCATGAAAAAAATGTGTGGATGGACTGTGTTCCCTTGCAATCTGACAACAGAACACTCTAAAACCCTAGAAACTAATCCTAAAAATCAAATTCAAATTTAATTAGTAATTTAACCCAAAATACCTATTGCAATCACTTTAATCTGTGTTTATAATACAAAAGAAATAGTACAGTGGAACAGAAAATAGAAAAGAAAAAAATTTGTTTAATTTTGATGTTTTCTGAATAAGGGTTTTAAAAAAATTTTAATTTGTGTCTAATTCTAATTTAATAATAACACATACATACTCAACATATATATTAATTTATTTAAATATAAATGTTACTGTATTATGTTCTCATCTCTTTTGTCAACTAAATGTGCCAGTGAGTGTATGTCCTAACAGAAAATAAATAAATGTGATTCCTTTACAGAACAAACTATGTAATGGCTGTGAAACGCATCCGCTCTACTGTAGACGAGAAAGAGCAGAAGCAACTGTTGATGGACCTTGAGGTTGTCATGAAAAGCAATGACTGTCCCTACATTGTTCAGTTTTATGGGGCTCTGTTTAAAGAGGTAAGTGTGTAGATGTATTTATTAACAAAATTTCACTGCAAAACAGAACATTCCAGGTACACTCAGTATCAATATGATCTATGCAGTTTAACAAACTGAAAATAATCAGAAATATCTACTAAACATATTTGGTTTCAATTTTTGTATATTATTTTATCAGAATGCTCGAAAGTGAAGTTTTCAATTGGTAATATAGGTAAAGTCAACAGCACATTAAGCTTATACACTTTTGTTCGTATATTGCCTCTGGAGTCAAGTTCCGTCAAAGTGTAGCGTGATGTGCTGCGGTCTGTATTTAGTAAATTTGAATTTTTCAAAAATTTTGCAGATATTTTAAACACTATACAATCTTAAATAAAAGTGGCTGCTTTAATTATTCGATTTTTGTATAGTGCCATTGTCACAACATTTTGTTAATAACTATACATTCAATCTAAATAAGTGCTGGTTCTTTCTAAAAACAGTATTCAATATCTGTGTGGTATTCTAGAAATTACTCACTGCATGTTTGCAATGCTATGATGCAGGAATGACGATACTACTTTTCACTTTTACTATACTTATACTACTACACTTGACATAGTTTTATCAGTTAACAAGGGATTTTCAATGAGTCACTTTTCTCAGACATTGAGTTAATACCTGTTTTTTTTTTCATAACATTGTTTTTACGAATCTTAAACCTTTCGTAACAAAGTTTACAGTGATTCAGAGGCCTCTCTTTATCAATATCAACATGGACACAATTTTCTGTTTTGAGTCGAAGGATGGAAAAAAGCATTTCTTTATTGTAACGTCACAATTTGGCCCTTCGTACCTTTCAAAGTTTTTCAAACTTTTCCACCGCTTGCACCGACGCAGTCGCGCGTTCGCATCGATGCAATCGCGTGTTTGCATCCATGCAACCGCCTATAAATCGCAAGTGTCGCGATGCAATCAATCGTAAATGTCGCAATGCAATCGCGCGTTACACAAAAGCGCATTTGTATTGCTACTAAGTGTCGTCGTGTGTAACCGCTCTAACTTACTGTTTTTAATCTTTTCCACCGATTCAGTCGCGCGTTCAAATCGCAAGTGTCGCGATGCAATCGAGCGTTAAAATGGCGCGTTACATAAACGCGCGCTTACTATTTTTATACTTTTTCACCGTTTGCACCGATGCTATCGCTCGCAAGTGTCGCGATGCAATATCGCGGCGCGCAATGTCGCGTTTGTATTGCAACTACAAGTCACCGTGTGTAACAGCTCTAAATCACTGTTCTGTGGTGCAGTAATTGTATGTGCAATACAGTATATTACACTCACTAATTCTAAGTTACGAATTTATGCCAATTTACCCTCTCCACACCTCTTGAACTTCAGAATACAGATATTGAGGGCTGGTTGGCTTGTTGTTGTTGAATTATTTTTGTGACCCGTCCATGTATTTATATTATTTTATCTTTACAGGGTGATTGCTGGATTTGTATGGAGTTAATGGACACGTCGTTAGACAAGTTTTACAAATTCATATGCGAAAGGATGCAAACTCGAATACCAGAAAACATATTAGCTAAAATAACACTTGCTACAGTCAAAGCTTTAAATTATTTAAAAGAAAAACTTAAAATTATTCATAGGTACGTTTCTTCTGTCTTTTGTTTTTTGACTACGTCCAAAAATTGAAAATTAAAATAATTCTATTAGGCCCAGCGTTCACTGACGCGACGGCATAACAGAGATTTTTAGGTATCGTATAGTGCCTTGTCGTCATTAACCCGTTTATATGTTCCACTGCTGGGCACGGGTCTCCTCATAGGCGAGGGTTTTAGGACATATTTTGTCTCAAGCAAAGGATCTGAAATATCATATTTATACCTTTTGTAAAAAATATACAATGTTTCAGCGATTTTGATCGATAAACACTCAAAGTACAATAGGGGATGAATAGGCTACTCCAAGTATTTTTTCTACGCAGACGCAGTCGCGGGCACCAGCTATCATTTAATAAATTAAATTACTAAATAGTAAAGTAGTAGTATGTAGCAGTAGAGTTTCTTGTGAGTTCGTCCTGGATACTACCGCCACTGTACCTATATCTGCCGCCAACCAGTAATATGAGTATTACTGCGTTCTGGTTTTCAAGGGTTAAGCCGGGTTTTCACCATACGAGTATGCTCGGACCGAGTCCACTCGGATGTCTCCTCAGACGTTACTTATAACGTGTAAATACGTACTCCGAGTGCACTCAGACTTCGCCATCCGATCATAGTGGACTCAGACGCGGTTCTATTCTTACGAGGATACTCGGCACAAGTGGAAGGAACGTGACAATATCGCC